CGGTGTCTGAAGACAGGCTTTAACCCTGACAGTCCTCTATCTGACGTGCACAGTCAGTCCCTCTTTAGGGAGTTTATCGTCTTTCACGGCCTAACAGCTAGCTTAAACCGAGGTCAAAGAAGCAATATTTATGCACTCTCGCTCGCCATCTACCTCTTTAAGCACTTCATCGGGAACTTTCACCAGGGATCAGATACATTGCAATACTGATGCCAGACTTACCTGCTACATATGTGGCTCAAAAAGGCCACTACTGTTATTTTCATAAGACCACTTAAGACCCAGCAAGATAAACATAGAACCGCTGAGAAGTCTTTAAACAATTTGTCACTGAACGGTTTCCAGGCAAAGTCTTAATGTAATACATCAAATTGAGCCCCAATTCATGGAGCGAGAATTTCGGGGACAGTTGATGGAACTGTCACTTGGCAAATTGGACTAGTACTTTATGTTTTAATGTCTTTTAATATCATTTTTAAGCTTTTCAAACCTTTACTTTTGGTTGTCTGTGATGAATGGTTGCGAATTGTGATCACCTAAGCTTGAACAGAGTCCCTTTAAGTTGTCTCATAAATTTTGTTTCCAAATGCTCAAATCATGACAAAAAAGGGCAATTTTTTTAGGCTGGAGTTGCCGTTGCTCATGTGCAGTCGTAAGAGAGCATCACACTGACTCTTTCTATAGCAAACGGAGCACCTGCAGTGATGCATTGACTTTACTAATTGGCGATTGGCTCTTTTATTGAGAAGGTAGAGCTTATTCCACCATATTGCCCATTGCACTTTCTCCCATTTATAGTAATATGAGTGCAACCGTATTAACCTCCAGTGATTTAAATACCATGCACTAAAAATTAAATATAAAGTATTTGGCTTGTATCTAGCTGGTTTTGTTGAAATCACAAGAATGCCCTGTGTTAGTCTTGAGCCCCTTTCACACAGCGAGTTGATCCAGGGAAATTGCCGGGTATCATGACCCAGGATTGATACTGAGATTGATGACCTAGTAACATTGCCGGAATCACAAGCGCACTGTGTGAACAAAAGCCAGGACCAATGCCTAAAGGCCAATTTATACTTCTGCGTCGAGGGTACGCCGTAGTGTGCGGCGTTGGCTACGCACGTAGGCGACGCCGTTGTGAGCATTTATACTTCTGCGTTCAGGTCTTGGTTGCTCTGCAGTACTGCTCCGAAACGCTAGTTGGCGGCGGAGAGTTTTAATGTTCCACTGTGTTTAGATTCCTCGCGGCTAGGTTACTACGAGTGAAAGAGAGCTGATCATGTTGGAATTGGAGCTTATTAAGGTGGAAAAACAGTTCACTTTAGTGAAATTACTAAAACTGAAAGGCAGAAATGAGAGAAGACTTCGGAGGAGATGAAACTTGTGGAAATCATAGACAGTGGTGGAAAAGCGTGAGAAGGTACGTGCGGAAATGCGTAGGAGGAAATGCGATGCTACCAAGCCGACCAATCACCGATCTTGCGGTCCGCGTCGTCGCGACGTGTAGTTACATTTTTGAGGAGGTGCGCGTCAGGCGACGGCGAAGGGTACGCGGTATGGGACGCGTCTGTGCGTATGCTACGCCGTACCTACTGCGCGCACCCTACGCAGAAGTATAAATTGGCCTTAAGGGGAGTGTCGTAGTGACGACGCACGTGCCATCACAATGACGTTCAAGGGTAATTTTCTTCCAGCGTACTCCTTATCGAATTACCACGTTGAAAAGAAGTCATAATCGAAAAAAGAATTGTAATTTGACCACAAAACATGTTGTACATAAACAACAAAATTTTGGACATCAACATCTAATGCGCGATCAGCTGCCATGTTGTTCAAAACAATGCAAACACTTGCGCTATTCGACGCGTACCTTACACGTCACATCCTGACGTCACGAGTCTTATAGGATTTTTACTTTTTACGGGATGTGTGTGAACACACAGATCCCGGCAAATCACTGGCAGTGTGAGTAAACCGAAATCAAACAATCTCGGGACAAATGCCGGCTCACATTATCCGTGTATTTTCCGGAATCTCTGTGTGAAAAGGGCCGTTGGTAGCATTAAAAAGAATGGATTAAAACGATGAAATTGTGAACAAATCCATAAATTGGACGGCATACATAGCAAATCATTATTTTTCAGCATAATTTTTCCTTATTTCCAGCTTTTGTTATTACTTTTTGTGAGGAGAACTTTAAAATTTGATGAAAAACAGCATGAAATGTGTAAAGAATATTTTTTAATAAAAAATAAATGAAAATAAAAAATAAATGAGAAATAATGTAATATATATATTTAGCCTGTTTCCTCATATGTCGAGGTCTAGCTGTTAACGTTAATTGAATGGTTAGCAAAAACAAACTCTGAGCTCTGTATATTGTTATTTGTTTTAGGAACTTCTGTATGTGTGAAGGACGCCTTGTGTTCATTGTGTCTTGGCATCTCCATTGTCTCAGAATAGCTCCTGTTTAGCTGTGTTCATTCTGTCTTAACTCACATGTCAGTTTTTTGATGAATAACCTTGATTTAAGTCATGTTAAATATGAGTAGTTATGTACATGTGTCTTTTTTTCAGTTTTAGTGGTGCTAAAGTAAACTGCGCCGTCTGTCTGCTGAGTTAATGTGCTTAGTCGCACTCCAGGTTGTCTGTTTGCACAGAGAGATGTCATCACGGTAAAAACTTCACATACAGTAAGTCACTCAACAGCTTGATTGGTGTGTATTAAAATGAATGACTTTTCTCAACTTTACGAGCTGGTGTATAATGCACCTCAGCTCCTTTTTAGCTCCCGCTTTAATTCTCCCACCTAAATCGGTTTTAATTTTTGGGAATTGGGAATGGCTGCATAACTGGAGACATTTGAGTGCTGGAAAAATGAATTCTTCTTAAGTGCTTTGCTGTGTTGGTCACCAACCTTAAAAGATATCCATAAAACTCAATTCCCAATAGGGTCTAAAATATGATTTATGAAACCTTATTTATTAGTGTGTCTCACTTTAAAATGAATCAGCACAGTTCTCACTTTCTCAGAGCTGCGACTGTGTGACTGTAGCTGTTTCCATACATTGCGCATTTTTTGACCAGCTCCAAGTGTTTGATAGCTGGTTTTGTTGATGCATACAAATAAAATGCAGTGTTTCTTTTTTCACGTTGTCGTCATCATCGTTTAAAGGCCAGTGATTATTTCTAAGCAAACCGTGTTAATGGACGCCTTCTTTTTGTAGTTGCAAGACAGTGACTAAAGTCTGTATGGTCTTAATACAAGCCTAGTGTTACTTAATGACAGTTTCTGATGATCTATAATTGCAGTGGCACATAGAAATGGAAGTAGAAAATTGCTGTGTCTGTTTCTCGGTATTGTACAATTCATTTGGATAATTGGTCTGGTCCCGAACAGCCTGATTGTTTGTGAATTAGACCAAAACACCTGGACTCAAATATGTTTCAGAAATCCAATGGGATGTGTATAGCTTTTTATTTAGTAGGTGAAGGAAATGAATCCCTCTAGTCTTTTTGTTGATGTCGAAAGCAAAACCCTGCGCAGAAGGACTGTAAATGTTTTATTTAAAATGCCCGAACTGAAAAATCGCGAAAGGAGCACCAGTTTGTTTTGGCGTGTGCGGTTTGTTCCATTCTCCTGTGGCTGCAGACTACTGGTCTACTGCCGGTTCTTTTATTGACTGAATCTCTCACTGTGAGGAGGGGGGAAAAAAACGACTTTGTATTATAACCGTATGGAGAAAAAAATGTTGGCAGCTGTTTTTACACAGCACACTTTTTAAAAAAAGAGAGACGGTCCTGACCACAAGTCATAAACCATACTTTATTTAAACTGGCGCTCACCCATTATTTGTTCATAGGGCTTTCTGTCTCACAGAAATAATGTTCCAGTGCTCTCGGTTTTGGGGGGAGGGGCATGAGGAGGACCTGGATAAACTGTTGCCAGGTGTTGTTGCCATGACATTCCATTATGCGATTCAACGCTGCCTTGATCAAGAGGTGTGAACATTCGAAATATGATTGAGAATGATAATTTATCCTTGGGTCAGTCTTTGTCATTAAAGGGATAGCTCTCCCAAAAATGTAAATTGTGTACTCATGTTAATCCAAACCTGTATGAGTTTCTTTCGTCTGTTGAACACGAAAGAAGATATTTTGAATAATGCTGGTAACCAGTACACAGTAAAAAAATAATCGTGATTTTAAAGGTAAAAAACTGTTAATTGCTTAACAGAAAGTTTCCGTACTATATACGGTAAATAACTGTAATAATTTTACTGTAAATTACCGTTAAATTTACTGTTTTTGAAAGTGAAAAAGAACAACTCATTGGATTAAAACCGTGAAAAACCCACAATTCCCTGTGTGACACTGTTTTTTTTTCTAATCAGTTATGAACATCAGGGGTTTATGTTACATTTAATGTTGTTAAATTAATGTTTATTGCATTTTTTTATATCATTACCATGATTTAATATTTGTGTGAATGACACTGTGAAGGTCCTTTATGTAAGTATTAACCTCCTAATGGAAGACTACTTGTAATGAGCTTTGATTAATCAAAGCTCTCATCTCTGCTGTGATGATTGTTGGTTGTTAATGTTTTACCATGGCACAAAACATATATCAATTTTTCAAAAGGTTGGTAAATCAACATGTTATCAGAAAATGAAATACAGTTTATTACTGTAAATGATAAGTTAAGTAATGTTCCTACCGTATTTTTAACGGTAAAGTTCTGGCAACCACAGCTGCCGTTTTTTTTATCGTAAAAATTACAGTTTTATTTTTTACAGTGTTGACTTCCATAGTATTTTTTTTATCTGGTTACCAACATTCTTCAAAATATCTTCTTTTGTGTACTGCAGAGAAAACTCATACAGGCTTGGACCAACTTGAGGGTAAGAATTGACAAAATGTACCTTTTTGGGTGAACTATCCCTTTAAACTTATTCACAAAGTCAGTGTTTTCATTCATACTTGATGAAAAGACAGAATTCATATTTCATATTGTTTAATTTAGCAGTGAAAATACAAAACATTGAACAGTGAGATGCTGTTGTCCACGCTGTTGAACTCCACCCCTCTTTGCTTCTCGTGCCGAGCTGACAAGTCCATCACGTAATGCTCTGAAGCTCTGCCCTGAACGACCCTCTCCTGACAGCTTCTTCATTACCTTTTAATGTATTCATGCATATTCCTCCTCGCTGGTAAGGCCGTCATGTAATGCGAGGAAATGGTGAGCCGCTCCGTGCCTTGGATCATGCTATCCGCCCTTTATTTCGATTAACAAAACAACTTCTGATGCATGTAGACGGCAGGAACTCCTGGGTAGTCGGCGCTGAATTTCCTGCAATATGACAGAGAGAATATTGGCACGTCAGTGGGACACCTCAGTGACTCTGGAAGATGCCATCATTATGTGTTGGCAATCGCAAGAGCTGAATTTTGTGGAAAATGAGGGAGGCCATGTCAGCCTCGCTAGCGTGTTGTGAGTGGCCTGAAATGCATCCGCTATGAGAGTCACATTCTGTTTACCACAGCGGGGGGGGGGGGGGGGGGGGCACCAGCATCACAGGCACGACGATGAAATGAACAAAATACATTCATTATAAGTTCGCCGCTCATCCTTCTGGAAATATAAAATAAGCTGATTTCAATATAAATAGAACAGGGAGGATGTCTCTACATCTACTTTGATTGTCACTTTTCAAGCCGTCAAATACCCAAAGGCCTTTCCGTGGCCTCGCTTATGTGTCAATGCTAATTTCCCCCCGTTGCCAGGAGTAACACATTGGGGAGCCTTGATTTTCTTCCTCTGGTCATCGAGCTTGCGTCTTTCTTCTCAGACAGCTTGCTCAGTGCTTGAAATATCTCTCAATGTTGGCCAATCAAAAATAGGAGAACATCTCAAATCAGGTTCTCCGCAGGCTTAGAATCAACAATGACGTACAGTATTCATTCTCTCTGATAAAAAGTATCCCGCTGTGTCTTTCTCGAGAGGTAATTTCCCCGTATTGTGTGCGTGAGCCCATTGTGACTACGGCAGAGATGCTTGTACAAATTCACGGCGCAAGCAAATCAGTCTCGGGAGTTTTGATCGAAGTGACAACGGTCCGTTTAAGAACTCGGGGAGGGCGTAATCTGAAAAAGGCTAATTCAATACAACTTGCCAGACAGCCACTTTCAAGTATCAGAAATTTCGAGCTGTCAGCCGTCGTGGTTGAGAAGCGCAGATGCATACAGCTGTTTGGTAGTCTGTAAATGACCCCTCTCAGCCTCTATGCCCCACTCTCTGACTGACACATTGTGCTGGATAACTGCCGGTGCTGCATTGCAAGCGGGCTGTCCAGCATGTGGTTACCTCCTCAGCTGCACTCACCTATTCAAGGGTTACTGCAGGTCAGGATTTCAATGCCTCGGTTTCACACCATCTCATGTGTCCTTTCGCTTGCAATCTCTGTTTCATTGGGATAGGGGTCCAAAAGCATTGCTTTTAGAGTATCTGTACTCGCGTGAGCACTGGCTACGGTGCATGTTTTTACTTTTCTGACGATTTACTACAAATATCATTGTTTTGGATGGGAAAGTTGGGGATTTGTGAGTGCAGCTGCACAATGCAAATGGCTGTAATTATATGTTTTAAATGATAGCGATAGCAGAGCTGATGAGAAAAACAGTGGGGGTTCAAATGACTGAGAACACCAGGGGAAATTTCTTCTTTAATACAACATTTGCAACTGCATATATTATATTGTCGGCATAAAGGAAATTTGAACTTTTGGGTTACACTTTATTTTAAGGTGTCCTTGCTACAGTGTAATTAATGAGTAACGTTATTACACAAAAAAAATGCTGGGTTGTTTTAACCCAACTTTGGGTCAAATATGGACAAACCCAGCCATTGGGTTAAATTTTTATTTTGTTTGTCCATATTTGACCCAAAATTGGGTTAAAACCACCCAGCATTTTTTAGAGTGACATTTACTTAGGGTTATATATAGGGTTTGGTTTAATGTTAGTTAGACGTAATTATGCTAAATTTAGTAGTTCTTCCTATTTTAACTGTAACGTGTAACAAGGATACTGTAAAATAAAGTGTTACCACCTTTTCTATAATGGAGCGATTGTTAAACTAGAAATCTCAAATATTTCCCCAATTTTTACTTTTTTAAAACCAATAATGTTATAATTTATATAATGGTGTGATTAGTGAATTACACTCTAGAAATGCTGGGTTGTTTTAACCCAACTTTGAGTCAAATGTGGACAAACCCAAACGTTGGGTTAAAAATGTAATTAAAAAATGTAACGCAATGGCTGGGTTTGTCCATATATTTGACCGATATATGGACGATTTACTACAAATATCATTGTTTTAGTTGGGTTAAAAACAACCCAGCAATTTTTAGAGCGTAGAAATCTTAAATATTTGTCCTTTTTTACCTCATAAAAAAATAACTTTTAGCATGATTAGTGAACTATCTTAGAAAACTAGAAATCTTAAAGTGGTAAAAATCAAGCTTGTCTATGTGATGTTTCAAATATGCTTTAATACAATTCATGTGCAAATTCATAAGTCAACACCATTGCTGAGTATTTTTCCTTTAAAACTACAGTGAACCAAAGACAGACTCAAAAACAAACAGCGTGCAATGGTCAACCAGTGGATCTCTAATCTGAGTGAGTGAGTGGAGGTGGGGATCATTTGCATATTCATAGAACCATGTATTCTGAGGCAAGGGAGTTGCATTCAAGCTTTTTTTATTCATAAAGGATTTTTTAAGGAAAACAACATTTAAATGTGTCATTTTACTGATCAAAGATGAGTTTTAAGGGATACAATTATTGACGATGGGGAACTATATTATATATACTAATATTTATCCATTTGACCTCATATTGTTTTTTGGTTGAATCCTCAACTGCTTATTTGCACTGCTTATTGGTTTGTAGTTTGTATATGATGTTTTATTGCAAAAAAAAAACTTTTGCTTAATATGATTTTCAGCATCAGCATCAAGTAATATCTCTCAGCTTACATTGACCCTTTTTATTGTTCATGACATAAATGTGATCAAATTTACCACAAATTATCCGAAAGTGTTACAAAAGCACTAAGATGTCAGGATTGCTTTTCTAATTTGTCCATTTTTGTGTTGCGCATATTCTACATTGTTTTAAACGTCCAGCTTACTGAATGCAAGAACGTAAATAAGGTGACTGAGCAGAGAGGGCAGAGCGAGCGAGGAAAGACCAAAATGACAGGGAGTTTAGCGCGCTGAATCCTTTTAGTAGACCACTGACACATGAATGAGGGGAGAGTGAGAGAAAGAGAGAAAAAAGTAGACAGCCAATTTGGGAGTAATGCAACTAAAAACAGACAAGTGTAATTTCATCCATCTGGACAGATGTGTAAAAGCGCTCCTCAGAACATTCCCCATGATTCCCCCTGATTGATCTTCCCCCGGACTGAAACACCTATTATTAGCCACGAGCCTAATAGCACCAGGATGGCTTGCTGCTCTCCCAGAGGCCAATTCTCTGGTCATATCTCACTCACTGCAGCTGTAGAAACAGGAGAGGAGAGGAGGATGAGGATGAGGTCCTTCATATTCAGTCGACAGAATTCTAAAGCGGACGTCTCAAACAAAACAATAACTCGGTTTCATCCAGGTTTCCATTGTTATTTAGGAAGAGCGTTTGCACACCCACCTGATTACGCAGTGAGGAGATGCTACTGAAACACAACGAAAAGGAGTGGCTTGTGTACAACGCAATCATTGTCATCAAATCCTCCGTTATTTTAAATATATCATAGTTTAAAGCTAGTTTTTTTTTTTTACTCTGAACGAAATGTTTATTGAAGGCCAGCTGTGACGCATCAAATGCTGGTTTCGCTTGAATAGTCCAGGGTTTTGGACTCCACAAACGCTCGCCATCTTCCATACGCTGGTCTGTTGGCTTGGAAAAGGAGAGCGGTTGCATGAGAGCTTAAGTCCAAGTCTGGTGTGATCAGATCCATTTTGATCCGGATCCAAACACGAACACCGTTCCCACTGTCCTTCACCTTTGCTGCTCTATATGGAGATGATTTTCAGCACTGTAAAAACATACCTGCATCTGTTATTTCTATGCCAGCTCTCATGTATAGTGTGCGGAAAGCTTCTTTGCTTTTGCCCCTCATATGTTTTTAGATTTATTTGACTGTATTTTCAGCATTCATTTGAAAACCCTCTCCTTACATTGATTGAATGAGCTCCATGGTTTAATGCATTTCCAAGAGCAGTTATCAGTATCACTGTGATTGCCGGCGTGTGTTTTGATAAAATGGGAAAAGCCTAAAACCCTTCAACTGAAATGGTTGTTAAAGTTTATGGAAATAAATGCTGAAGGGGATTTGTTTTGCACCACATTAACAAGCTTGTATGAGCTTAACCACATTTGATCGAATGATCTTATGAATAAATACAGATTGAATTTACACACTATTGGTTTTTGTTGGATTCTGCCTATTTTTTACACTTGTGTGGTTAATGTTACTGCACAAAAGGCCAAGATTTAGTTTACTGGTATGCTTATGTCAAAATCTCAAAGGCTTTCTCATTTATAAGATTTTTTTTTCAATCTACACAAATTTATCACCTTTAGTGCCTTCAAAGCATTTAATCTGAAATAAATGGAAGAGATGCTGTCTTCCATTAACCTTACAGCCATTAATTCATCATTACTATGCAAAAACATTGACAAATCCCGAGACTAATGTTTTTATACACTTGAATATGCTTAATAGAATGCCTGATAGAATACATAAATCCTCACTTATGACTTCATGTAAAAGAGACTTGCAAATATTTCAGTACCACCTTCACTAATATGGCTAAATTAAACAGCTTGTGTTTTTTAAGCATTAATTTTTGGCACCCAGCCATTCATGGCTTCACTGCTTCTTTGGCGTAACTCTGCAGTCTTTATCTCCCGCAGAACCTTTTGTGAGTCAATTTCAAATGTTCTTCAGCTAGAATGTGGAAGTTTGTAGTTTCAGGCAGTCTTTGTATTTTGGCTATTTAGCCCTGAACAGGAGCTTGAGAAAGGCACGCAGCTCCTGCAGACTGGTTTTCATGTGAACCATGGCAGGAGAATGAATGTGGCACAAGGCGGTTCTCCAGGTGTGACTTTTTTTTTTCTCGGCTGTTTTTACGCCTCATCAAACTCACTGTTCTTGAGTTTCAGGCAAACAATTATTGTCCGTGCTTCATTGTTTGTGCCACTTCCTCACCTGACCTCAGGAAATTCAGATCAGGGGAAACTACTTAAATCACACGCAACATCATCCCACCAAATACCAGCACAAAACTCCATGAGCTCCAGCATTATTTTCATAAATATCGACTTGTAATTATTATCACATTTTTTTGTCACTGCAATTCTCAGTATTTCCAAAAAGAAAAATCGAAATATTAGCACACAATTGAGTAAATACAATTGCTATGTTGTGTTTTATGGATACATGATTAACACACAAAGAAACCGTAACCATGGTCCCTCCAATCAGATTAGGTGGACCAGCTTCAATCAAAGATCAAAATCTATCAGAGTCAGCTAATAGCAATGATTATAAATAATGACTATGGGTGGATAAATAGCTCAGGCAAATATACTGCAGGACAAAGCGGACAACGTAATGCACATGTAACTGCATGGGTAAAATGTTTTCGTCGTGGTAAACCACCTGCACATGCAAAGATTCATATGCAAAATACTATCCTTCCCAGGCCACAGGATCTCCGTTTCACGTAAATATTAATAGCCATTGATTTCACCCACTTTTAGAGATCAAAGAGAATTGCCATGTGAATAAACACATAAAGTGAATGAAGTTTTGATTTAAAAAAAATGTTATTTTTATTAGTAGCCTAGGCTATTCTGACTATCATTCTTATGTCGTTGTTTATTGTGCAGTTATCCGTTTAACATTTACAGGCAACTGTCACGCGTGAAAATGACTGATCTCCTGCTGTTAATATTTACGACTTTCCCCGTTTCGGGGAGCAATGACAACTTCTGCTGTAGCTTATCAAAATTATGATTATATGGTTGTCTTGTAGCTAGTCTTGTAAACTTGGCTTTTTCACCTGCGACAAGGAGTGTTGGTTATTCGAGCATCTTTTTCCCCCGCGCGGTTGTTTACCGAATGTTGTGGTCGGCCACTGCACACCCAAATAACAATAAAGCGTGTCTGTCATGACACGTAAACCCACTATTCGTTGGGTGTGTTTTCAAACTGTCATAACAAGTAATATTCTGACAAACTCCTCCCCGAGATTTTGTTGATTACACGTTAAGAAATATTATCAATACGATATAGCTACGAGGCGAATGACAAGCCACTTGTCAAAATGATTAATTTGGTATGGAGTGGGATTTATTTTATTATTGCACGATTATTATTTCAATTGACCTTCAAAATGTATTAAGTGATATTGTAAACTGTAATATGTGATCAAATGTTCCAGTGATTATGCAAAAAAGGACTTGCACTTTGCTTTACATTTAGAATCTATTGAAAATGTATAATTATCTCTGGTGCACATCAGGAGGGTATTATTTTGAATTCAGGTTTGAATTCAAAGCCTCAGAAAAGCAGCTAACGAAATTTTACAAAATGAAAGGGGGCTCGGCGCAAGGAAATAAAGTGTATCTTTGTTTGCCCCTCTTTGTTTACCGCGGGATTTTTTTCCCTTTTTTTCATTTTACTAATTCATTTCAATGGCTTTCAAACTGGAAAATGGAAATGTTGCTCTTGCCCTCTATTTCAGCAGCCGCGTCCTGGCAACAGAGCAATTTTCTATCATCAGGGATAAACGGCATCGAACAGTACATTCGGATAAAAAAGCCTGTGATTGCTGGCCTTCCTGTCTGTCATCTCTCTAGAAAATCCTCTCCCCCAGACCTGAGCCGTGTGCTGTCAGAGCTAATAATGTCTTCTATTAAGTCGAAAAAGAACCCCGAAAAATCCCACTGTTCTCAATTGTACAACATTCTCAAAAGATAAAAGATTTTTCAGCAGAGCCACGTTCATTTAGATGAAGTGAAAATGAATGTTCATAAGAGGCAACCTCTGTGTTAGCTTCAATTTTGCATTGAACATTGAAGTATCCTTTCAGATCTGTATAGCTACTACACAGCCTTATGTTCTTATTTCCTAGAGATAAACAAACTTCTTTGTTGTACATTGGTATGAAACGTAAAACGCACAGACAGAGAAAATGCTATATTACATTTTAGGCCTCTCTCATTTTAATTTTAATTTGCTCATGCTAAGAAAAAAAAAAGACAATTATGCTCTTTAAGCATATAGTCACCAAAGCGTGACCACTGTTAGTCCAACACAGAAGTTAGTCTACATTCATCAACCCGGAAGTGGAGCTTTTAGCAAGAATATGTAATCTATGCACGAGATTTAGTCATAACAGCTCAAAAACACAGCAATTTTGATTTAAAGGTCTTTGCTTTGTGGTCAGTTTATATACCAACATTAATGAGCAAGTGACTAGTATTTTTTAATATTTTAAATGTTTGACGCACTGTTTGAATCGAATTAATGCATATTTCATATAAAGCCGATACCTTCGCCAATTTCAGTAAGGGTATTTTTTTTCTTCCTTAGCCTTACTAACGTAAATAGGCCTAGAGTTAAATATTTAGTGAAACAGTCCTGGAATAGAATGTGTGTTTTAATATGTGACCCAAATGGCAGGGAGGGGTCTGGTGATATTTGTTCTCCTCTCCTGATTTCTATTGTAGCGATCTAGCGCAGAATACCGACAGCTGCGCGTGCTATCATCTGCGTTCGCTTTGCCTCGCCACTTCCTCTGCTCAACAGCCACGGAGATCCGTCGACGCCTGTGTGTGTGTGTGTGTGTGTGTGTGTGTGTGTGTTCGGCAGAGAAAGCACGATCAGCCGCCTTTCCTGGACTGGAAACGCATCCGAGCCGGTCAACATGGCTGTTCGGACCAGTGACAAGAAAGTGCGCTCTTCGGAATGGAAGCGAATCCATTTCAAAGTAGTTTTGTTAAAGCTCAGATAGGGCTGCATGGATGCACTCGAGAGCAGGCATGTCCACACAGACCCCGCTCTTTCTTTTTATTTTTGACAGATTTGTAATATGGGTTTACATGCATGCGTTTTTTATATTCTCAGTAATAAATAGCCTATAATGAAAAAATAAAAGTTCACACATTTTTAGTTAAAGAAATTGAAATAAAGATTTTTGTAAGTAATCGAGTTTGGTTTTGGTGAAAGTAGACTCCGTTATAATACAAATACAATGTCATTTATTTTTTAAGTGTCAATTTTAACTTTATCAAAACGGCTCCTCATACTTTGAAACGTTCTATTCCTGCGCATTTTTTTAATTATAAAAATTGGAATACAATTTATGTAGAGAAACAACACCATTTACGACCCTTCAACAGCTTGCAAATAGAGGCTATTGAGTTTTAATTTAAATACGCGTCCTGTGGTCAAGATACACTGAAACGGATCCACTGGCCTGTTGTATAATTTTGTCAACTTGGATTGAATGATTTTATCAGTCCCTGGAAATATAACCATTCTAGATTTATGTCCTTAACTGTCAAATATAAAGTGTCAACGCAGGTTTTATAAAAAGGAAGTAATTTTAAAGGTATCAAACCATGAATTCTCGATCAATTAAGCACTTAAAATGTCAGCAAGAAAGCATAATTGGAAGATGTTTGTACCATGCATGGCTATGTATCTGGTTTTGCTCTCACTTGCTCGACAAACATTTTCAAACTGATCATGCAGCAGCAATAATCAATCAAATTCCTGATCGCTATATGTTAACTCATTTGACAATTGCATTTAAGCAAATTATTACACTGCTTTTTATAAAATTCAAAAGAAACAAAAAATGTTTTTCAAACGAATTCTGCAGATTCCCTCTTACCTGCGTGCACAGTTAATTTGAACTCGAAATATTTGATATCTTGACTATAAGAAGAAATCCACAAGCGTTCAGATCGACCTGATGCCTTTCTGTCTCTCCCAAGTTTAGTCCACCATGGAAAATGGTTATCTACGCCGCTTGTGCACTCTTAAATCCGGCAAAGTAAATAACATCCCTGGTAATAATAGCAAGGTACGCAGTTCTTGTTACAGAAAGGGAGAAAATTGAAACTAAATGCTGCATTTAGGGCTACCATTTTTGATAAGAGGATAATTGAGGCGACACTGGTGTATAATTAGCGGATAATTTATGCTATATCCACTTTTAATCCACCTCCCAAAATAAACAAGGTCCATAATCATTACAGACGAATTGTTCTTAATTTTATAGCGCCAGTCTGAATACAGTGTAACGGATAATCAAAGTGAATTTGGATATAACTGATTGCGACCGTAATTGCTTTTTCATTACCATTTCAAGTAAATGTATGCCATATCATGAGAGAACTCGTAGTCTATAAAATAAAAATTGAGTGAAATGAGAATGAAGAAAGCCTTGCAGTTGTAGGGTAGGCTATATTTACATCGTGGTTTATAATGCGATCGCGATTTGCCAAACCACAAACTGCACTCGTAATTTGCATATATTTTCAACTGTGACTGGCTCGTGATTATACGAGGAAAGGCTGTCACTAACCCGGGCCTTTCAGTGACTGTGGGGCTTAATTAAACCAGACCATATCTGGCGTGTTTATAGTTCACGTGAATCCTCTCTGACGAGGCTTAGCCTACATATTGCTTTTATAGACTATTCTTTTGACAACGCATATCTTCACTTAATATGCATGGCTTATATTTTTATTCTATTGGCTACTGCAACTCTCCTTAATTATTTATGTATCGTTCTTGTATTTAGCCTATAGGCTATTATTATTTTACTGTTGTGGTTTCTTCTGTTTTGCAAATGCATTGAGACAACACCGTCCATATAAAATGACTTTTTAGTCGTACATATGGCAATACATTCTCTTTATCCTACAACGATTCGATTTGTATGGTGTTTTTGCGGTTTGTAGGCTAAGCGATATTTGGCACCTCGAGCTGTGGTTACGAACCACACGATTAATTAGGCAACTTCGATAGCAGCGCGCGACATTGTCTCGGGAGTCGTATCGAAGTGGGAATTTTGTGAATATCAGAGGGATATCCCAGCATTATTATTCTCCACATGGTTATGGCTACGGTGGGAGCTGTTAAGGTAGGTTAACTCACTGTGAAGTCTCAGCTAAAGCAGAGAACTGATGACGTTAGGTTGAATGACCAATCGGAAGGCGCTGCCCTTTGGAGACAAACCATTTTACTTGTAGTGGCTGCATCAAGTCTGGAAGCAAGGACTCAAATTTAACAGAATCCACCTTAAAATCTCTGCCTTTACTCAAGCCCACCTTCCACCATACCGCGTGAGAATTACAGGACAAAAAAGGATAAATTGTGGAGGTAATAACGCAATATCCCCTAACCAAGGAGAGAAAGAAACGAACACAACGAAAGGGCTCATTTGGACTTCAGAGATAGGGGGTAAGTGCTCTTAAAGCAGAAAATTTGATGATGACCATGACTACGATGGCTGACGGTCTGGAGGCTCAAGACTCGTCAAAATCTGCTTTCATGGAGTTTGGACAGCAATCGCACTCACAACAGAGCTCCCCGTCAATGGCCGCCAGCCATTATCCGCTCCACTGTCTCCATTCCGGGTCTCATCATCATCATCATCATCAGCACGACAGCTCTCCGTACTCCGGCTCAAACTCTTATAACAGGTCGCTACCTTACTCCTATGTAAGCCATCCCCACCACAGTCCGTACCTGCCGTCCTACACTAACGCCAGCGGAACACAGACCAGGTTAGACGCCACAGGTAAGCGTATTACATGCGTAAAGATCCAGCTCTGTTTTCATTGTTGAACTATAGGCTACGAGGAAAGCTGTTTGTCGATAAAATTTTACATTCACAGTTCTCATCTAAGACACCGTACCCGTTCCCCTTTGTTCTCGCCCAGTTTTGCCCGTCGTATATGTCAGCAATAACGGTGTTCTCAAAATGATTTATTGCGTTACGCCAGTGATTCTACCCACCATTACAAATTATAATTAGCATCTAATTGTCCCAGTCTCGACATGTCACTTCATGCTATTTCCTAAATATGACAAAGTAATTATGCTATAGCCTATAATGCTTGAAAGAACTTTACAAATTTGTGTTTGTAAAAAAAAAAAAGTCACATTTAAAATTCGTATAAATGTTTATGTGCGGGAATCATTCCACAATATTCACCCTTTTCAGAACAGCAGAAAACAACAGTGATTGAAAATGGAGAAATACGTTTCAACGGAAAAGGCAAAAAGATCAGAAAACCAAGGACGATTTATTCCAGTTTGCAGCTCCAGGCATTAAATCACCGGTTCCAGCAGACTCAATACCTGGCGTTACCAGAGCGCGCGGAACTGGCTGCCTCTCTCGGGCTCACACAGACACAGGTGAGATGTGGACTCATTTACATTTAATACTGAATTGTGCTTTTCATTTTGGTTGGGTATCTATTGGAATGTGGACTCAATTGAATTGAATAATTATGCTTTTTATTTTGGTTTAGTATTAGCCTATTACTGATTTTGTAATTAATAAAGGTGGACCTATAGTATATGTTTAGGACGATGATGACAAAAATATCATGTTAACTAAATTAGACACCTACTTCACTTTAAATAGGATATAACCCAGTTTATATTTTTTTTCTTTCTTTTCAGGTAAAGATATGGTTTCAAAACAAAAGGTCCAAGTTCAAGAAGTTGTTGAAACAAGGCGGTAACCCACACGAGATTGACCCTTTGCCCGGTTCCATCGCCCTGTCCCCACGTTCTCCAGCCATTCCTCCTATTTGGGACGTCTCAACCTCCTCTAAAGGAGTAAACATGTCTGCTAACAGCTACATGCCCGGTTACTCACACTGGTACTCTTCGCCTCATCAGGACGCCATGCAGAGATAGGCAACTAGCCCTGTTTTAGGCCAGAGGCCTTGACGTTGACTTCATGTCTTCGCCCAGTTCACGGTTTAACATCCCTAATATAGACCTATTCTAGTCTGCCTATTAAGGGGACGATTTCTTTTGATGGATGAAGACATGTGGGGTGGCGAAGCTCGACAATGGAACTAAATGTCAGTAGCAAATTAAACGGATTGATTAAAAATCTGTGCTCACACGTGTTTGGCTGTAATCAAACACAATCATCACCAACAGGAAGCGAAACGTTTTGTCACGCGCTTGAGTCGCATTTGAAAACGAACTCAATCCTCCTGCGTTTATGTTTTTGATCATGCAAACAAAAGCAACTTGATTGTAAATATATTGTCCGATTTTAGTTGTTAAAAACTTTTTATGTTTTGTCATAAATGGAGTAAACCATGACTTCAAGTAACGTGTCGTGCCTTTTTTTAAATTTTTAAGGAGATATTATGAAAGACTGACTTTAAAAAAATCTATTATTAAATAGATTATTGGAATAATCTGAATTTGAAAACAGTTCTTTATAAAATATATAAAAATAGGACCTATAAACAACTTACACAGTCATTTGAAAATAACCACCTCCACATTATTTTTCTAATGCTGGAAAGATATGAAGGAATAACAAAATGGCTTACCCGAGATGGTGGTTTCTCAAAGTGTTTTTTCCTACAGAATAGAGCGGCATCTTGTCCATCTTGTCATTCTCTAGCTCAATTATTAAGGTATTGACAAAATGTTTTCCCCCTTTCTCTCTGCCTTGATCTGCGAGACGCTGAATGCCTTTCGCCACAGGATCGATCCTGAACAAAGCATCCAGCTGCAGTCTCGTTCAATATGAAGGAGATATTTGGGACAATTTATGGGTTTTATCCAAGAGAGGGTTTTTTTTTCCATTCTCATAAATGCAGACATAATTAGGGTAATTTTTGATGTAGCCCGCTGATTACAGCGTTTTTACCGTCAAAGATAATTACCTGTAATTTTCTACCACTTTTAATACTAAAAGGCATCTTTATTTGGATTTGAAGTGGCAAAGACGAAACAAAAGATGAAATTATTCGGTTATTCATGTACAAATTGCTGAGGAGAGTGAACACTTGGGATATTATCTAAAATTACAACGTTGAATAGGGAGACGAGAAGCCCCTGCAGCTGTCAAATCGTGGATGCCCCAGCCGCAGAGAATGGGGCTTGATTTTCTAAAAAGGTTTCCTCATCAACGGATTGGGATGGTTCATTTAAATGTTTGCTCTGCCTATAAGAACATGAGATATATCTTGAAATAGGAAACGTCAAAAACACATTTGTCATCGGTTTTTAGAAGGCTAATCTGCTCAGAGATCAAAAATATAGCATTTGCAACTATTCAATTCAATTCACGTTTATTTGTAGCTGGCTATAGCGCTTTTGACAATATGATATCGTTTTAAAGCAGGTTTACAGAAAATGCATGTGCACATTAGCCAATTTACAGTAACCTGTTATCGGAGGTGACTGCCTATTTCAGAAATGTAGACTACACAAATCACGCATTTAGCTGACAACGGCTATTAAATTGAAGGCAGAAACAATGAGCTCATTGAATTAGGCTAAATAATTAGGGTCAAGTTATCAATAATTTTACAATAGAAATTGTCAACAATTCTTCCAATAGGCTATAGGCCTAGACATTTAGCATTGATGTAGAGTTTGCCTCAACTCTAAAATCCTACAGCTAAATAATCTTTGGAGGAATCCTTCCTCCAAATAATTCCTCATAATATTAAAAATAAAATGTGTTTGTGAGAGTTAAGACCCCAGCACAAATATGACAGACCCCCTGACAGACTCCGACAGACACGATCTTGCGGATCCCGACATCCTCAAGATTAGGCTAAATGAGAATTAACCAAAGACCAGAAGCTAATAATTCCGAGTGTGTGCGCAAATGAAAAAGAGAGGGATAAAACACCAAATTATGACCGGTTTGCTATAGATCCCAGCGTTCGTATGTCACACGTTTTCCTGTAAAATAGCCTGCCTTCCCCAACAAGCCGAGCTGCAGTTCATAACAACACCCACCCTTCAGCGGCACACAGATTAGCCAACAACAAAACAACATGCTAGGCTAATGGAACAACACTTACCTTCTGTAGCTAAGTTTATTGTCTTGCATATAGAACAAAATCTCTGGTTTCAATAAAGATATCGTTGTGAAAGCGGACGGTCCTGTGTACCGCTTGTGTTGAGTAAGCAAATCCAGGTGTGGAAGTGTTTGCACACCCCGACACCTCTTATATATTGCCTGCAAAATTAGCCGTTATTACTGTCACTGTTTAGAGATGGTGAGCTAGGGAAAAACCGTCTGCAATCAAGAACCAGGCGCATCTTTGCAAATTAGGCCTATAGATAATTGTAAATGTCCAGATTATGATAATGGAGCTAATCCTGGTGGAAGTATAATTATTGTTGAGTGTTACAGTTGAGGGTGTCCAGTAAAGCTAACTGTCATTATTTATACATGGTTTGCAGAGAATTCGTTGAGTGGAAAATTTTGAGTTGGAATTTAACAAGGCTCTCGATATAATGGCATGGGATGTAGCGTGTTTGTGTACGTGATATAGAAAGCGAGGCAAAGTTAGAGTTGATATATGGCGTGTATGTTTTGGGCGTGTGTGTTTTGAGCGTGAAGCATGCGTACGCGAGCGCGCGTGTGTGTGTGTGTGTGTGGTGGGGGTATAAAAATGCATTATACGTAGACTACGACAATTTTCTCATGTCATATTTCCATTGGGTAGAAGTTTGTCACTTTGATTTGTTGTTTAGGCATAAAACACACAGTATTCCTAATTAAATAGAAGAATCAAATTAGTTAGTGGTAACTATAAGATTTCAGTGTTCAAAACATGAGAAATAGCAATTCTTGGGTTTTATGCACTAAAAAAATGCCAGGATGTTTCAACCCACCTTTGGGTTGGACAAACCCAACCTTTAGGTTTACATTTAAATTAAAAAAAAAATTATAAAGATATTTAAACCAACAGTTAGGTGACCCAAACATGAAACTCGGTATAGTTTATGTGTGTGGAAACATCAGTCTCAAGTCGTATTTTTAAAGAATGAAGCGTTTATTTAGAACATTGAAGCGATCATCGAGCAAAATATTTTCCTGTAGACTATATATCCATGAAACCGGTTTTTATATTTAGGTTTTAGGCCTACAATAATATAATAGTCAACAATTAAATCTCCACCATTCACTGGTGGCCTTTTTCACGATTTATCCGTGGCAGTCAGCTGTAGAAATGTTAGCACTGGTTTTAATGAGATGTTCAGCATTTTTCCAGGAGGAGGATCTGTCAGGGCTGGGTTGTGGTCGCTAGAGCCGGTTTGCGCCGTTCCTTCGCCTCCTCACTACAATTCAAAGGTACTAATTGTAAGGAACACAAAGACAGCAAGGCAGAGCAAACTGTTTGCCAGACCAACAAGCAAATTTTTTTTTCGTTCGTCATGTGTGGGTTTAATCAAGATCAAATATTCAGTCCCACTAACGTAAAACTTGTTTGGAATAATAATAATAATAATAATGAAAATTAATTTAATCGGATCAGGCTAGCTGGACCAAGACCGAAGCAAATTCTTTTTTCTTTTCATTTTAATTTATTAGACCATTTATTCGCTTAAATGTGACTCAGCCCAGAACCATGATATCGGGCTGCCAGAACACATGATCCCAAAATGTAAAAATAGTATCATGGTTTTCTCTATAATTTCCACTCGAAATTTATTTTCACGCTTGCAAAGTTAAAGACCCTTTATAAATCACAGAAAAGTAACTAAGACGGGCTCTAAAGCAAAGTGCTCGGTGCGTTGATCCGTTTTGTTACCTTAAAGAAGACAAAATGATTGATAATTAAAGAAAAACACACATTTATTTGGGGTTGTCCTTAATGATTTGGCACATCGTCGGATGTACGCGTTGAGGTCAAAATTCAAGGCACCATTCAGAGTGTTTGGGTCCATTGTCCATTTAAAACATTTAATATTCTTCCAAATGCAATAAATTACATGCACACAATTTACACATTATACACGTTCTTCTAGGACTGCCATATCGATACATTGCATATTCCTCAAAAAAAAAAAAAAAATGTTAACACCAGTCCAATATACAACAAAATAATAAACAAATTTCAGTACAACGTTCCTGCTCCGAGTGCCAACGAGTGTTGTAACGTGCCAGGAGCCTGAAGGTGAGAATTCATCGCCCCGGCGGCGGAATACCATGATGCGCTGGCGCTTTCCAGAAACGTGGATGCCGCTGTGTTAATATTCTGCTGCTGATGGTGAGGTCTCTGAGGACCCTGTGAGTCCCAGACAGCGGGAGACTGCGGGGAGTTACACGCCATCGGGTCGCTGGAGCTGGGACTGTGTTCTGGAGGCAGCTCGCCGTTTTTCATGATCTTCTTTAGTTTTGATCTTTTGTTCTGGAACCAAATTTTCACCTGAGGAAACAAAAACAAAAACATTTTTTTTAGTTTCTGTGGACAAATAAATAAAGCCAAACCTCTAGTCCTACATGATGATAATATATTGGCCTATATATTTTTGTTATATCGTAAACAATTTTTTACAACCTATGAAAAAAATTAACTGTCTATGCTAACACATTCAATCATTCACATTCTTATTTTGCTAATAGGCTATAAAAAATAAGGCCTCTCTATTTGAGAATTACATAAAAAGACATTGCAATAAAAATCAAATAAAAAACATGCTGAAATATCTTCGAACCTGTGTCTGCGTGAGTCCCAGCGACGCCGCGAGCTCGGCTCTCTCTGGGAGCGCGAGGTATTGCGTGTTCTGAAACCTTCTCTGAAGAGCAGCGAGCTGAAAACTGGAGTAGATGGTGCGGGGCTTCCGGACTTTCTTGGGTTTTCCGTTGACCATCCTCACTTCGGGCTCGGCTGTTTCTTTTTCTGACGGGTGAGCAGAAATTTGGTAAATGAACGGGAACAGAAACTCACTCTTGAATCATTGTTGGTAATTGTTGCCGTGATTTTTGTCAAGTGTCGTAATGCTTTAAAATTGCAACTCGCATATATTCAAGCAGAATCATTTGTCAGAAAATCTTTACGCATTTTACTCTCTCTTATTTTCTATGTAATCTATCTCCATATTGCATGCAGGTTTTCCCCACCATAACACATAGCATTAAAGAAACTTAAATGCAATCATGTTTCGTCAAATCAAATTGAGACCCAATAAAAAGAAACAACTCCTAGCCTATAATAATACTCAATAGTAATGCTAATGATTTATAATAACAACAATAATAATATGCTTAAATATAGTAAGCTAACTGACCTTGCGGGCTCGGTTGTGACTGCACCCTATTATATGTTCCGGCATATTGGTGATATGCTGTGGAGTATGAGCCGTAATCAGGGTAGGATTTTGCAGGGTAATTTCCAGAAGATCCATTGACTCCGTGGTATTGGTACTGATAGGCATTAAGAGGTTTCCCATAAGTGCCCGAGTTTGGTGAACAATAGCCATGATGAACTCCTCCAGCAGGGCTGTAATAGCCAGAATCCGTGGCTGTCGACTCCGGTAGGGTTGGAGATTCCTGAGATGGATGATGCATCGTGGAGAGCTGAAAAGCGTTTTGGAAATCTGCAGGTTTAATACTCGGAATCCTTCTGTCGAATACTCCAGTCATAGTTCGGATAAGACAACGTAAAAAGGCAGTCTAACTCTATAGGGGTCCACAGAGTCTACACTAACATTGTGTGTGCAAGCGTCAGGCGTCTCTCTTGAAGACTGCTTTAAGCCCCGCAGCAAAGACTTGGTTAAATCCTAAATTGCGCTGTTACGCA